GTGGCACGTGCCTGTAATCCCAGCTACTCAGGAGGCTGAGGCAGGAGAGTTGTCTGAACCCAGGAGGTGGAGGTTGCAGTGAGCTGAGACTGCGCCATTGCACTCCAGCCTGGGTAACAAGAGCGAAACTGCGTCTCAATATATATATATATATAAAATATATACCTTAACGTGGGTATAATAGGTACATCCTAACTATGGCCCTCCACTTGGTTTTTCTTTGTTTGTTACATTCCTTTTGAGGTGAACAAGGGCAATTTTGCAAGGCTCTTTAGTAATTTATTGACTTCATTCTTTCTTTTCTCTTTTTTTTCTTGGGCTTCAAAGTGGTTTCTGGCAGTAAAATCCTGATATAATTCTTGAGAGAGAGAAATGACGGAGGCGAAAATACTCGGTGACAATGCTATGAAAAAGAGAACATTATGGCCAGGTGCGCTGGCTCATGCCTGTAATCCCAGCACTTCGGGAGACTGAAGTGGGTGGATCATGAGGTCAGGAGATCGAGACTATCCTGGCTAACACAGTGAAACCCTGTCTCTACTAAAAATATGAAAAATTAGCTGGGCGTGGTGGCACGCACCTGTAGTCCCAGCTACTTGGGAAGCTGAGGGAAGAGAATTGCTTGAACTGGAGAGCAGAGGTTGCAGTGAGCCAAGATCGTGCCACTGTACTCCAGCCTGGGCGACAGGGCAAGACTCCACCTCAAAAAACAAGAACATGACTTCTTATTTGGTAACTTCATTCTCAGGAATTGGGCGTAACCCACAGGAAACATACGGAGTGGGTAGGTAAGAAAATAGAGGCTACAATGTAGAAGCCTAAGAGAAGTCCGAGTACAATAACAGGTGTATTATTATTGATATGTGAGACAAGCCCCAGAGGCTGCAAAAATCAAATGTCTGCTTCTAGGAAGCTTTCTTAAGTTAATGGATAGAAGCACTTTCTTTTCTTTCTCCCTATCAGTGCACACACATTGACTGAATTTTTTTTTAAACCACTGCATACACCCTATAGAATAGATTTAACTAACCTCCATTGATGGGTATCTAAGCCATCTATTTTTTTTAACATATTAAAAGGAAAGACACTTTCTTAACACTAAAGTAGGGATAAGTGAAGATTTGGTTGTAGTTAATCATTCAACAAATATTGATTGACTGCCTCCTGAATGGTGCTTATCCCTTGTGACTCAGTGTCCCCTCCTGCCTCCCCAGTTCCTCAAAACCCAGTTTGAAATCTACCACCTCCACCAAATCTCCCTCTAATTTCTAGCTGATAATTGATTGTCATGTTTGCTCTCTTCTAATAGAAATTGGTCACTCAACTGGAATCCTGCTGTCCTTACTTGACACTATCTATGTAGGAGAGCTTTCTAGAAATGCAAAGTTGCCTTGTCAGTCTCCACAGATATCCCGCAAGTGTAGCCTGTCAAGAAAATTGTACAGATCCTCAGGATCTGCTCTTGACTGCTGCTCTAGCCTTGTTTTCCTGCACATGTGTCACCACTAAACTTGCTGCCACTGTCAAGGGCCTCTTCTATGGACTTTTTCCGTCTAGGTCTTGGTAGCCCTTCCTTTCCCTCATTCTTTCAGGCATAAGAATAGTGACAGCGCCAGTGCTACTAGCTGAGGGTTGCTGACTTTTCTAGTCCTTTATAAACAGATCTTTTGTAAATAAACCATCCATGCATTATCCTAATTTGAATGTGCTGTCTGATTCCTGTTGAGACCCTGACAGATTCACCCCTCCCACCAAAACAGCATCCCCATTTGTGCTGTTTACTAGGGTGGTCAGTAGCCTACCCCCTAATGGGGGTACTGAGCATTTGAAATGTCGCTGCTCCCAATTGAGACTTGTGTGAAGTGTAAGTTGGATTCCAAAGAACTTGGTATGAAAAGAATGAACCTATATGACTTAAATCACTTTTATATTGACTATATGTTACAGTCACAGTTTTGGATGCATGAGATATATTATGAAGAGATAACTTTGTCTGCTTCTATTTTTTTTTTGAGATGGAGTCTTGCTCTATTACCTAGGCTGGAGTGCAGTAGCGAGATCTCAGCTTACTGCAATCTCCACCTCCCAGGTTCAAGCAATTCTCCTGCCTCAGCTTCTTGAGTAGCTGGGATTACAGGCATGAGCCACTACGCCCAGCTAATTTTTGTATTTTTAGTAGAGATGGGGTTTCACCATGTTAGTCAGACTGGTCTCAAACTCCTGACCTTGTGATCCGCCCACCTTGGCCTCTCAAAGTGCTGGGATTACAGGTATGAGCCACCACACCCAGCCCCCTTTTTAAGGTACTAAAATTTATTAGAAATTAGCCTGGGCAACATGGCAAAATGATGTCTCTACAAAAAAAAAACAACAATAATAAAAATAGCTAGGTGTGGTGGCACACCCCTGTGGCCCAGCTACTCAGAAGGCTAAGGTGGGAAGATCACTTGAGCCCCAGGGTGCAGAGGTTCAGTGAGCCAAAATTGTGCCACTGCACTCCAGCCTAGATGACAGTGAGACCCCATTTCAAAAAAAAAAAATACTAGAAATTAACAATGCCTCATACAGCTTGCATTTGTGGCTCACAGTTTGCTTCTAATGGGCAGAGCTGTCCTATATATCATGCGAGTGATGGTGAGAACCGTGTCTCCTACATTGAGCAAATCTTTAATACTCACATAAAGGAAACACCTGTGCTCAGAAAGTGAAAGACCAAACACATACTGTGATGTCATGTTGGAAATAGAAGGGAACTTGGAGCCCAGCATTTTCCAGTTGAGGAAACTGGAGCATGTTTATAAGTATTCACAGGATTGCATGCCTTCACAACATCTTTAAAATGGTCTTTATTTTGTTGTCTTTCTTCTGCAAATCTGACTGAAATACTTGGGGAACAGTTTTAAAGTATAGGAAAGTTTAAGTTAACATTAGATCGCAACTGGTTTGTCAATATCTAATTTTAGAACACAAAAGGACATTAAAGTTTTGCAGGGCTTGTTCATCCTCGTAAACACCCAGTGCTTTATGGCATCAGAATCGCAAAAGCTCTTCACTGGTTATAGAATCAGTTGGGATTGGTAGTTCATAAACATAAAACCATATCCAGCAGTGAGTACTTATTTAGCAAGCCCAGAGTTAGAACCACTAGGTCCCTCTTGGAAGCTGAAAAAGTGAAACTGACTTCCACTTCCACGGTCAAATAGAGCACCGGAAGGCTGCAAAGTTCCTGCATGGAGACCCAGAAATGCCTGGTGAGTTTCCTGCACCGTGGACCTTGAGCCTATGGTGGGCCTTGTTGGCACCTTCGGTGGTCCCAGAAAGCTGCCTTCACAGGTTGCAGGGGCTGGTAGGAAGCTGCCACGCCGTCGTCCATGTAGTGAGGCATCTCGTGGAGGCGAGGAAGCCAAGAAATAAGGAACAAATAGGATTGCAAAAAAAAAAAAAAAACGACCTCATGCAGGTTCCACGGGCCACCTCCCTCCATTAGACAGCAAGACGGTTAGTATCCCTTCCTGACCTGCTCTCCGGGGAGCGCACAAAGAGGATATAGGGTCAGGGGAGGCAAGGGAAAGAGGAAACCGCAGTTTATGAAAGGATATTTAACCCTTTTGCCAGCGTGCGCGCGCGCACACACGCACACATCCACACACACACAAGTACAAGCATTAAGAAAATAGACTTTACATTAAAAATTGGGCATAGGGACTTGAAATCGGAGCTGAATTTTTTTTAATTTTAATTTTGCCATCGATTTATGCATTGACTTTTTCCCTGAGAGGTTGTTCCTTTCTAGGCCCTGGAGGCCTGGATAATCTCATACAAATCCAAGGGAAAACAATCGAAAGAAGAAAAGCAAGCAAACAAACAAACCAAAAAAGTGATGGGAGAAAAAGCTCTGCTCAAAGGCCGGCAGCAGACAGTTGAGTAGATAGAAGTGGAAACTGCTGCAGAGAATTCGGTTTGCTCCAGACAAACGGGGGCGTGGCGTGCAGCGCAGTACTGGGAACTGCTGCAAACAAAACTTCCAAGGGGACGGGGAATAGGTTCCAGGCGACGGAAAGGGGTGGGATGGGGAAGCATAGGGCAACAGTGCCGAGGGAGGAGCAGAGCGCGGGGAACCTGGAGAGGGTCAGGGCTGCGGAGGGCTGAGCCGCGGTGGAGAGCTCTGGAGGCCCTCCCCAAGCCAGTGGCTTCTGGAGTGGAAGTCAGGCCCCAGGGATCCGGCCGGCCTTAGCTGTCACTCAGGCAACCCCGGAGCCGCTGCAGCCCGGGGCTCCACTGGAAAGGGGCACCTTGGGGAAGGGGCGTCGCCCCTGTCGTCCCCGCCCGCTCCAGTGCCATTGGGCGGCCGTTGCGGAGCCCGCGCCACCTTTTCTCCATCCCACTCCGCCCGTCTGGCCCCTCCGGGCCGCGGGTCCGCACCCCGCCGCTCTCGTCCGGGGGCTGGTCCGGCCCGGGCCGTTGACGTCACCGGCAAGTTTGCTGCCCTCGGCGTCCCACGTGTGGCGGCGGCGGCGGCGTCGTCCCGGGAGGGAGTCGGTGAGCTCCTGCGAGCACAGTGGCGAGGACCGCTGACAGGTCCCGCGCAGCCCAGCCCAGCCACGCGGCTCACAGGTGGGGTCCGAGAGCAGTTTGGAGCAGCCCGGCTCGCAGGGAGAGGGGCGGACGGCTTGGTACGGGCCTCTGGCTCCCGCTCGGGCAGAGGGACTCGGGGGGAACCTCGCTCCGTGGCCGAGAGAACCGCAGCTCGGGCGGAGAGAACGCGCCCAGGCGGGCAAGGGGGCCAGAGGAAGCCGGGGCTGGAGGGCACTGTCGCTCGCCGCTGTCTGGGGCGCACGGAGCACACAGGCCCCGCTGCCGCGCGTCCCCTACACGGAACCTAGCAAAGGATGCAGCATCACTGAGCGGAGATCCGCACCGAGAGGCCGCTCGGGACCGGTCTGAGACGCACGCCTTCGCCACCGCCGTCAAGACCCCGATTCTGGCGACTCTTGGGGGAACCCCAGCGCAGAGCGCTTCCCCAAGCTCAGGACTTGGGCGCGTCTAAGACGATGGTTTCCTAAGCACCGCACCGCGCTCCCCTTCCCGTCCCCTCTGTGGAGACAGGGATCCTGCTCGGGGCCCCCGGGGCTCCGTTTCCCCGCGGAGCCCCGGACGCCGCCTCCGGGGGCAGTTAGCACGGCCGCAGGGGCGCACGACGATGTGGCCTCCGTCCAGCGCACGGGCCGGCTGGGGGGATGCTCTGGCACCTGGTGGGGCCCCGGCCTAGCATGGCCCGCGCTTTGCCCGACGTCGCCTCCGGCTAGGATGGCCCCTCCTGGCCCGGCCGGCGCCCTCCCCACCTCTGCAGAGCCACTGTCCCGCAGCATCTTCCGGAAGTTCTTGCTGATGCTCTGCTCCCTGCTCACGTCCCTGTACGTCTTCTACTGCCTGGCCGAGCGCTGCCAGACCCTGTCCGGCCCAGTCGTAGGGCTGTCCGGCGGCGGCGAGGAGGCGGGGGCCCCGGGTCGCGGCGTTCTGGCCGGAGGCCCGCGAGAGCTGGCGGTGTGGCAGGCGGCGGCACAGAGAAAGCGCCTCCTGCAACTGCAGCAGTGGCGGAGGCGCCGGCCTCCCGCGTCGCGCGGCGACGGCGAGGAGGCGGCCTGGGAAGAGGAGTCCCCTGGCCTGGCCGGGGGTCCCGGCGGCTCCGGGGCGGGAAGCAGCGTGGCGGAGGCCCCGCCGGGGACCCTGGCGCTGCTCCTGGACGAAGGCAGCAAGCAGCTGCCGCAGGCCATCATTATCGGCGTGAAGAAGGGCGGCACACGGGCGCTGCTGGAGTTCCTGCGCGTGCACCCCGACGTGCGCGCCGTGGGCGCCGAGCCCCACTTCTTCGACCGCAGCTACGACAAGGGCCTCGCCTGGTACCGGTGAGCGGGGCGGGCCCAGGCGGGGGCTGAAGGATCGCGGGGGTACTGGGCTGGGAAAGTCGTGGGAGAGCCCTCAGTGACCCCCCAGTTCGCCCTCCTTCTCACTTCCTGCAGAAGGCCAAGGGTCATCAGTAGTTGTCCTTAAATTGAGGGGGTCTTTCGTCTCTCTCCGCCTTCTCCTTCCTGAGAAGTGGATGTTGAGGGAGGGAGTGGGAGGGAAATTCTGGCCTTCATGATTTTCATCCTTGGGAATCTCTTGCCAAGTCTGGTCTCTTTCTCTTGTTCTGCGAAAAGTATCTGTGTAGTTAGCTAAAGGTGAAAAAGGAAAGGAAAAAAAAGTCTCTCCTAAATTAGAAACCTATTCAGCAGTTAATAGATTTCCTCTCTCTTTCCAAGGAAGCCCGTTTTCATTCTTTACCTTTCGGGCAGTTCTCTGTGGTTAACGCAGCCTTTACCATCAGGTATTTATTTACCTTGACCTTTTGCCAGATAGTTGTCCTAGGTGGGAAGTAATATTGAGACTTAGTAAAAGTGTCAAGAACTAGAGAATCTGGGTAGTTCAGAAAATATATGTCTGTCTGAGCAAGGAAAAGCAACCAGGCACTGTATTTTAAAGGATGCTTGGCAATAACTTTTGTTTGAGGGCAAGGAATGAATTTTGGAAAGTGCTTTTGATATTGGTAGGGAAAAGTAACTTTTGTCTCTGGACTGACAGAAACTTTTCTAAAGATCTTCAGACGATTCTCTTTACAAGTAAGGAAGCCAATTAAAAGAAGAAGAAGACAAAAGAGAGAAAAATACATTGGCGCAACTTTGCCACTTTGCCAATACAGTTCAGGAAATAAGTCTTGCTTAGATCTTAATCTTAAATTCTCCAGTCTCTTCCAATTCAGACCACCTTTAATAATAAAATCGGCCAAATTCTAATAAATCTAGTGTCGCCTGGATTTTGTTTGCCATAATATATTGGCTCTTTTTTCTTTCTTCAAAGTACCAGTAAAAATTTTGTTGCTAGAACTTTCCATTTTATAAAGTTTATCTTGTTCATAAAATATGTGTTTTCTTTGTTATTTTAACTGAAACAATGTTGCAAAAATTACAACACAATTTAGGTAGATTTCAAAAAGCCCATTAAATTAACCATTAATCCACAACACGGAAATGGACATGATTTGACAAGTTTATTTACTTGAGGGGCCAATTGCACTTTCAGATTGATTTCAAGAGCCGAATTTACAGTAAATCCACTCATAGAGAAACAATTTGGCCCTAAAAATTGAATTTAAACATTAAACACTTTTAAAACAGTAACTTTCCATTCTGTTAGAAAGAAAAAAACAAACAACCTCCCCTTAATATAGATTATGTATCACTTAAAATCATCAGCCACTTAAAATATCCCCTTGTGTTTCTCTCATTTATGTTGTATCCTCTGGGAAGTTCTTATAAAAATGACCTGTTGAATCTGGAAACAACAGGTCCTTCTTTTTAGCACAAAGGCAGCTCTGTGTTTTCCATCAAGGACACAAGAAAGAAGTGATTAAAGACCCCTAAAACTCTTATCTATAGCAGTTTGCATTGAATTCGGCCTCGAACCATGCTATAAGTGAACACATTTCAAACTGACTGTCTGAAACATCTAACACTACATTGGGCTCTGAGGTGCCATTAAATATGGTGAAATATTTAGCACTAAAACCCTTTATTTTCCTTTTGCCATATAAACTTTATTTCCACAAAGTAGGATTGTTTCTTCTCATTCCAGAAATGAGTATTTGAGGGCCCAGTCTATATGCAGACCTGGATCTTATTTTCTGTGGTCCTTTCTGAGCTCCTGTAAGAGGGGAGGATTTCAAGGTAACGAGAAACACAAGTATTTAAAAACTTTTTTTGAAGAAAGAAAGAAAAAAGTCATAAACTTTTCGGCCAATCTCTCCTTTGGAAATTAGATGCATGCTGTAAAGTAAATCTCGCCCTGGATTGTTTACTCCAGCAGAAGAGTTCTATAAAGCAGTTTATGGTGGTTACAGAAATAGCTGCACAGTAGACTTCATGGTTTGGTGAATTTAATTTTCTAAGTGTTGGAGCAATGTCTTTGTTTTACCATTTGCAGTGGTTTTTTTTTTTATTGGATGCATAAATTTACGTTTAACTCAATTACATAGGAAACTTATTTTTTAAAAAATCCAACCTATGGAGCCTGGATTATGTGATGATTTAATGAAATTTCCCCACAGTTCTCTTTCATCTCGGCTCTGAACTTGGAGTTTGATGTTTGCGAGCAAGACTGAAGGCTCAACTATTTAAAAAAAAAATTCTCCCACCCAGAATGCCACTTAACTATTAAGTGCATTTTAGCTACTTCTATTCAGCTAATAGTTTAGAGCAGGGGATTCAGTTAGACCTTCATGAGTCAGCCCACACTTTACAATACAGGATTTGTACCACACACTTATGACCACATTAATACACAAACACACGGACAGAAATAAATTCCAGATAATTGCACCCAGAAGTGAATTATGGAAGATTAGAACCTATTTAATTATTTTTAGGTGTACATTGGCATGGGGGAATCCTAAAATGTCTAGCCTTTTTCTGCCCAGCGAAATCGCTAAGCTAGCCATGATAGCTTGTGGTGGCAGTGCCCCCTACTGTCCTCACAAAGGGACAAATCTGCTGCTATTAGCAAGTTCAAAGGAAAATGAGTTTGTGAGTTAGAAATGCCTGTTACTGAACTTGTTCAGTAAATTACTGTCACTGGGAAGAAAATAAAATACTTTATAAACTTTCTTCCAAGAGTGAAGTCATAAATCCTCCCTTTATTTGAACACATTTGTAGTAAAGGCAAAGAAAACGAATTTGTTATTCAAAATCTCTAGAAAGAAAATTATTCTTACTAATTTAAAATGTCCTAATAGACCTCCTCTAAAATAAATAAAACAAAGCCAAATTTTTATATGCTGGGAAACTCGACCCTGATGGAGTTTTTTTAAAAAAAACATTCCTCGTGACTTAATTTAGCAGACATGTTATCAGTACAACAGATATCTGTGGCTTGCATGACACTGGAAAGCAGTCCTTTGCAATGAATAGTGTTTATTTCTCGTGTATGTATTGTGGCTTCATAAAGAAAAGGAAAAAGTTTCCTTAGCTTCAAAACACTGATCTTTACTGGAAGTCAGGACTGAATGCCTCTGCTGTAGTTCAAGAGCAGATGAGCTTAGAATTTAATAAGGCTCTCTTCTGCTTGTTTCTATCTGCACCAACTAAAAGATATATCTTTTTTCTTGTAAGCTAAAAATATCTATTAATAGAGTATTTAAATAATGTGTCTATATGTGTGTACACATACACATACATCTGTATGTATGTGAATGTTTGGATTCGATAACATTTCAGTCTATTATTTTGGTACAAGATAGGAAGTATTTATTATCCAGTCTCTTACACTAGCATGTTTATTTCTTATATTTCAATTTCTTTTCTTTAGTGAGTCTGGACAATTTCAGCAGAGAAGGATATCACTAGAATCATTATATTCTAGCGCCTACAGGAAGATCAAATATTGTCCAACTTGGAGTTTAGGAGTTCGTGCTCCCCTGACTTCATCAGAATTTGAAATTTTCTGGCCTCTGATGATCCTGGCCCTGTTTTTAAAGTCCGTTAGAGAGGCATACTGAACAGAGGCCCTTTCGGTTCCTATGAGGAGAAATTGGCATTTTGTAGCAGCTGGGAGCAGCTGCAAAGTACCTCCATGTGCAGTTTCTCCTCCTCCTGTACTGTGCAAGCCCTTTCTGTGTGAAGAGTTTGAAATGAAATCTGAGCCAAGGAAGCTGCAGTCTGACCACCCATGCAAGGACATATGGACTGAAGGCCAAGGGCCCTCTATCCTTAGGGCAAAGGAAAGAACATTGGGGAAGAGATGAGGGCTAGGAGGAGAGTGAGATGTTGCTTCGGACTCTGAGTCTACAGTACTTGTCTATAGAAGCTCTCAGTACCTGGGCATTCCCCACCCAGTCACAGGTTGAGGATCCAAAATGCTGTCATCCAGTTTGCTGAATGTCTGAACTCTGGGCTCATCCCCAATAGATGGAACCAGAAATGCTCTATTAATAGATATTTTCAGCCTAGTTCCTGTATGTGTGTGTGTGTATGTGTGTGTCTGTGTTGCTCTCACACATGAATGTGCATGTGGGAGCAGACACCCAGAAGACAAGGACGATGAAAGGATTTATGAGAGGAAAGTTATTAACTAGTTGGGAAACTTCTGAGCAATATTGGACATCCTAAGGAGGGAACAGTTTGGGGGCACATTGAGATCATAGTCCAGGCATTAAACAACAACAAGAACACTTGGTAGAGCCTGGACTGGAATGACTTGTGTGAGTGAATATTCCTTTAGAGGGATGAGATTCCTAATATGCTCCCATACTTTATGTGAAATGCACAGACTTCTATGAAAATCCACCATGACATTATAATCTCCTGCCCTCTCTTTAAAAAGAAAACATCCTGGCCAAAATACTTGTCTCTTGTAAATAAGTCTGTGGATTGGCCAGGAAAGAATAAGTGCCAAATCTGTATTTTGGCAGGGTCATGGGAATGAAATAAACCTGTGCAATTAATGACAACAGGGGCTAACCTCACGTAGACCAGACACTCACTTCATCAGAAGAGTTGCAAAGCAAACAAAACTTCCCGATATGAACAACAACAACAAAAAGGGCCTCATATCTCTCCGGGACACAGTTGAACAATTGCAAATTGCAATTACCATCAGTCAAATTGCTGGGCCCAGTCGGGAACTTGATATTCTTAGTTCTTTTCCTTAGGGGGAAATCTTCCTCTACCAAGTTGATAGTAACTTGGCTGAAAAAGAGCATCGTTTCTTGGTATAGATTTCCTAATGATATTAAATCCCAAGCTTTTAGAAAATTTGTTTCTGTTTAAGTGATGAGTTGCAATTGTGAACATAAGGTTTCTTATTAAATATGTGC